GGGGGTGGGGGGAGGGAAGCAGAAGAAATAATTAGGGAAGGAAGAGGAACACGGAAAAGTAGGTTAGAACTAAGAAGCTTAAGAATGCGCAGAGTCAAAGGAAGCGTATTTCTCTCCCCTCAAGAGCAGGGGTGGTGGGGCAGGGGCAGAGGGATGTTTAAAAGATAAGAGGAAAAGCCAGGCAACAAAGAAGTTGCCCCAGAGGACGTGGTAGGGGCTGATGTGTATAAGGACCAGGCAAGCTCATACCTGTAGTTCTTAATCTTTTCCCTCCCAAGTAAATTACTGAGCTCCAAAAGGAGGGTGGGAGGCCAGAGGCTTCACAATCAAAGGTTAAAACTGGACTACTTAGTGAGATGTGAGCCAAGAAATTAATGAGGTAGGAAGAGCAATACTGTCGAGTGTTGTAAGACAAACCCAGCTTATTACTTCAGTCCTCCAGGTTCCAATTAACTCCCCATTAAGTTGGGCTGAGGGCTTAACTTCTCACCCCGCGCCAGGCACCCTGCCCCTGCGGGGGGACTCCCGGGACCTTCCTCACCGCCATGAGGGTAGTGGAAAAGCCACTCACAGAGGATACCCACCCAGCTCTGTCCAGGACTCAAAGAGAAAAATTGAGAAAAGCACAGAATATAAAGAAAACCACAACTTCTTTCTTTTTCTTTCCATGCCCACCACCCCTTCTCTCCCCTCACTAGAATGTAATCTCAGCGAGAGCAGGGGGGCTGGCACGCCATGGACGCTCAGCAAATAGTGGTTGAATATTGAATGAACTCTGATCCGTCCCACTTCGTTATGTCTCGGCATTGAAGGATGCCACCAGTGCAGTCGCCTAAAAGAGCGCTGGGTTAAGACTTTTTTGAAGGTGCTAGTGGGGCGGCTTGCTAAACTCGGAGCGGAGAGCCCCGCAGCGCGGCAGGGGAGGGAGATTGGGGTCTAAGTCCCAACACTGCACCCTTTGCAACTGACCTTCTGGCGGGGACGCCCGCGCGGGCCACAGCAGCCCGGCTCCGGCGTCCCGCTCCCGCCTCCCCCCGGCGGAGCTCGGCGCCCGCTGCGCACGTAGGTCACCTGCCTCCTGCTGGCGCCGCGCTGCGGGCCGGGTGCGGGCGGCAGGTGCGGTGCGGGAGGCCCGGGGGCTGGGCCCGGCGGGGCGCTGCGGGCTGGGGGCGGAGGCCCAGCGCGCCGAAGCTCGGCGCAGAGCCGCAGGCCGAGCAGCAGCGCAGCGCCAAGCAGACACCGGCTCAGGGTGCTGCAACCCCTCCCGGGCGGCCTGTCCCTCGCCATGGCCCGGGCCGACCCGGGGGGCTGCGTTCAGCCTCCCGCGCGCCGCGCGCGGCGCCTGGCCGGCAGCAAGGATGTGGCCCCGAGTTGCCGAGCTGCCAACTGTGGGAACTCCCCCGCGGGCCGGGGCGCGGGCTCAGACCCGCCTCCCTTCCTCCGATCCAAGGAAACCTCGGCGTAACCTTATCCTGCCCAGCCGAGCGCGCCCAGCCGCTGGAAGGGGCGAGGGGAGGCGGGCCAGGCGGGGTCCTGGGCGTGCAGGCGGCTTGGCCCTGCAAGAACCCGACCCCAGCCTCACCTCGGGGGTCCCTGAGGAGGCTCCATTCACCCCGGCCTCCAGAGCCTGGCGGAGCTGAAAGGTACATGGCCAGAAAAAGCACATTCCTAACGGGAGGGACCCCGGGCCGTAACTTCATTTTCTAGTATTAGTAGTGTTGAAAATACACAGAAGGAGGATAGGTGAACTACCAGGTTTCGTTACAAAAAACGAGTTCTGATCGTCAAGGCAGTTTGTGCCACTAATTAAACACAATATAAAAATACATCGCACTTATGCTCACATTTACAACTTCTCTCCCTCAAGAAAGGAGGGGTTGGGGGAGGAGAGAAAAGCGCTCGCTCAATGCAGAATAATCAAATTAGAGTTATTCCATTTCTAAATTCTGCCTGAAGCCAATCCGTGCTTTCTCTCCTTGTTATGAAATGTGTGGGGGTGAAGGAGGAGAGGGGAAAAGCTAGCTAAGACATCTGACAGCAGGGAGAGAGAACAGAAGTTACCATGGCATGATGGAAATCAAATTAATTTGGCTCCACACACACCCTTCCCTGCTGTCTTGCAGAGATACAGAGGGACAAATTTATCTTTCGGCAAAATGCTCCCCAGCTGGTATTTTCATCACCACCTTGACCTTAATTAATCACGCTGAACGCTCACAGCCTTAAGTTCCACTGTTGGCTATTCCATTTTCAATTATTAGTAAAATTCTTTCCCACAACCCGTTTGCGGTTTGAGTTTGGGGTTTAGGCTTGTATTTGGGTTTGCTTTCTTTAGCTGTGGTCACATATTTTTTCATGCTTTACGCTTGCATTTTTCATGTTTCAGTGTGAGACCACCCCTGCTGACCTATCCTCTCTTCTTAACAGTCTATGGAATGGACATCAGAGACCAAATATGGAACCCCTCCCCCACACCCTGTTTGAAAATTGGTAGTTTTCCATAGGGAGACTTCCTCTTTAAAATCTCCCTGGCTTAAGAAAGACCCAATTTATTTTTTGTCACTGTACAAAGCACTTAGGCTATTTCTATACGTGTAACAAGAATTCTCAACCCAATTTAACCCACTCCCTGGACACATCAGGTCTTCAGGCTTCTAAGTGTTTCATTATGATTGACTTTGGTTTGGTTTTTTTTTTCTTAGATAGAGCCCTCCAGCTATTGCAGATGGTCTCTGTTTTAAAGAATCCAAGCAAATACATTTTTCTTGACACAAACTCTAAGAAAAAAAATTCACATCCTGTGTCTATTTAAACAACATGAACTGCGGTATCAGACATGAACTATGTGTTGAATCGAGACTCTGCCTTTCAGAAGCTGTGAGATTTCAGACAAAGTACTTAACCTTTCTGTGCTTCAGTTTCCTTATGCGTAAATAGACCTATATATCTGTTAAGATTACAAAAATTGCATAAAATATTACATGGTTAGTACCTCAGTAACACCTGTTCCACAGAAGCTACTCAATAGTAATTCTTTTTATAATGTACCATTAAAGAAAATCCTGGATGTTATCATCATGCAAAACAAAATTTAAGCATTGATTCCAAGGTAGGTAAACATAAGAAGGTACAAGGAGATTTGTAAATATCATATACAGTCTTCTTTGGAATTAGGAGTACCGGACAATGCAAGAAACAACCATTAAGACTCAAGATCCTACAAATACACTCTATTAAGTTGTATAATTGTGTAATGCTATTTAAGACACAATTTGTATTATGCTTGATAAAACTGGATCACCAATGTCTGATGTAGACTTGGATAGAAGTTTTATTTTCTCTGCAGTCAACAGAGTGCCACTAACTAAAGAAGTAATCTTTGGAAGATAATGATACCATTGACTTATGCCCTCTGCTCATCTGTTGAGTTACTCTCCAGAGCGGAAATAAAATGGGGATATTTAATAAGACTCTTGACTTGGGATGTCAGGGGGAAACACACAGAACAGTGTAGCTCTTAAAGAGAATGGGCAAGATGATCTCATATTTTCCCTTATCTCATGTCTGTGGTTCTCTAATAATGTTTCCATTATGGGGGGAAAATCTAAATAAGTGCAATATTTAAATGACCTTTTTCCTTATCTTTTGCAACTGCCTCTGTGTGTTTATTACTAATAAAAAAGAACTGTTTATATGTATGCAGCATCATTAATTTTCTAAGAAAAAAATCTCTCATTTTTAACTTCTACACAATATTTCCCTGTGTCACAGATGATAATGAATAGTGAACTGGATCAGTTGGTAGGCTGGCGAGGCAAATCTGACTACTGTCGCAGCTGACAAGCAATCTTTCATTCATGACCTTTGCTTTTCTCAAAGTTGAACTTGTCTTGGTCGTTTCTGGATATGTTTCAAATATGCAGATAATCATTAACCACTGAGTCATACGTTGGTTAATTAAACGTTCAGGTCAGTAAGCCACAAAAGCAGCTTTCATCAGATCACAAATTACATCCTCCTTGAGGTTTCAGCCAGCAAAATGAGTGAAACACAACATTTTCAGTGCTAATCTCCTAGAAACCATGTATTTCAATTTGCATACATGCTGTAGTGCAGTGGTTCTCAAGCCGAGGTAATTTTGCCTCTCAGGGGACATCTGGCAAATTTCTGGAGACATTTTTGGCTGTTACAACAGGAGATAGTGTGGGGAGGATGCTACTGGCATCTAATGGGTAGAAAAGAGGGATGCTTCAAAACATCCTCCAATGCAAAAGATAGCTTTCCACAAAGAATTCTCTAGCCCAAAATGTCAATAGAGCTGAAGTTGAGAAACCCTACTGTCACCATAATCTTAATGTGGCAAATTTTAATTACAGACTGCCCAGAGAGAAAACAGGCGACTAGTCAAGAATCCTCACCTCTTTGAAGTACCCATTTCTGTTTCACAATGTGAAGTACCTAGCCTGAATTAACTTAATCAAATTTAGAAAGGAACAGAGCTAGAACATCTGGCATCAACATTTTCTTCCACCCCACCCACTCCCATCATGTTTTCTCCATGTAATACATGTCCATTGTGGAAAATATACACAAGCAAAAGAAGATATCAACAGGCATTCATACAGCACAATTCAGAAATAGCTACTCTCTCAAACTTTTTTCTATGCATATATATATTGTTTACAAAAATGAAATCATAGTGTATATATATATATATATAATTGTAATCTGCATTTGTAATTATTATATAATTTACATATTAAATAATATGATGTCTGGAATTTGCTTAAAAACAACCCAGTGGGGCTGGCTGAGTGGCTCAGTTGGTTAAGAATTAGCTTAAAAGCGCGAGCTCTGAGCAACAGGGCCACTGGTTCGATTCCCACATGGGCCAGTGAGCTGTGACCAAGCTGAGCTGCCACTGAGCTGCCTGCCAACAGGTGGCAGGATGGCTCAGCTGGTGAGAGCACATGCTCCTAACAACAAGACTGCCAATTTGATGGTGGGCTACGCCCGCCTGCAACTAAGACTGAACTTGGTACCTTGACTGAGCTGCTGCCCAGATGGCTCAGTGGATAGAGCATGAGCTCTTAACAACGAGGCTACTGGTTCGACTCCTGCATGGAATGGTGGCTACACTCACCCACAACTAAGATGGTAACACAGCACCTTGGGCTTAGAGGCCACGAGCTGCCAACGGGCAGCCAGATGGCGATTGGTGCCCTCCACAACTAAGATTGAAGAACAACAACTTGGCTGTTCCCCTCCCCCAATTCCCCAATTAAAAAAACAAAATCCCATTGGGGGAGGTGGGAGATAACTGGGGTATGGATGAAGAAAGAATGGCTGAGTTTGTAACTGTTATAGCTTGGTGATTGAGTTCACAGCTCTCTAATATTGAGTATGTTTGAAAATTTTCACAATAAAAATGTTATTAAACAGTAACCCATTAACCTACAACATTATTATTGTTTTATTGAGGTAACATTGATTTATAACATAAATTTAGGTGTACAACCTTATAATTCAACACCAGTATATGCTACATCATTCTTACCACCAAAAGTCTAGTTCCCATCTGTTACCATACAATTAACCCTCTTTACCAATTTTGCCCTCCCTCCACCCCCTTCCCCTCTACCATGAAATCTTACAGTATTTGTATTTTCCTGTCTGACTTATTTCACTTAGCAAAATACCCTCTAGGCCCACCCATGTTGTCACAAATGGCAAGATTTCATCTTTTTTGCGATTGAGTAATATTTCATTGTGTATATATACACCATATCTTCTTTATCCATCCATCGATGGAAACTTAGGTTGTTTCCATATCTTGGCTACTGAAAATAATGCTGCAATGAACATGGGAGTGTATGTATCTTTTTAAATTAGTGTTTTCATATTCTTTGAATAAATACCCAGAAGTGGAATTACTGGATCATGTGGTAGTTCTTAATTTTTTGAGAGCTCTCCATACTGTCTTTCCGTAGAGGCTGCACCAATTTACATTCCCATCAACAATGTACAAGTGTTCTCTTTTCTCTGCATCCTTCCCAACACTTGTTATTTCTTGTCTCTTTGATGACAGCCATCCTAACAAGTGTGAGGTGATATATCACCATGGTTTGGGTTTGCATTTCCCTGATAATTAGTGATGTTGAACATCTTTTCATGTGCCAGCTACAACATTATTTTTAATGGCTACATGTATGATTTAACCAATCTTCCACTGTTGAACAATTGGATCATTTTCAAGTTTTCATTTTATAGACAATGCTATCTATGATGGCCATCTTTGTAACTAAGCCTGATGGATCAGATGTGGATGGCGAGAAAAAGAAAGAAGTCAAGGATGATTCCAAGGTTTTTCCTAAGTAACTGGAAGGATGAAGTTTTCATTAACTAAAAAGGGAAAGACTTAAGT